GCAGGATCATTTCTCCCACGTCCCCCATGGAAGCCGTAGCCGGGGCCGAGTAACCCCCCACTTGCCCCTTCCCCCATCACAACACACCCAGGTCATGGGACCCCCGTAGTCCCGAATATGCTGTCCTCCGCATGCACGACCACCCCTCACTCTTCCACCAACCACCACTCCCCACGGTCACCACCCCAATTTACCAAACAAAACCTACCTGGGGGAGTCCTTCAAGGCGTCGATCCACCAGTGCACATGGTCCGGCGTTTCCTCTTCGCCTGATGGCTCAGCTTGTCGTTGCTGGGGCGGGTGGGGTCAGGGGGCGTGAACAGGGTCGCAGGTAGGGGGTGTGAGTGGACGAGGCTCACTGTGGCAAAACTCCCTGACACGCACTTAACTTGCCCTGGACAACCACTCGTGACCCAGATGGCAGTGATCCTGATGCAGGAGCGAGAGAGAGATACGTGGTGCACTGGCGGCTGCCAAGAAGAGACTATCGGCATAAAATAAGTTGTCCCTAAAAGCAGAGATCCTCAGCTTTATAATAGAATTAATCGCTCTTAAAATATTAGGTGATAAGACAAAATAAATGATACCAGTATGTACTCAAATTAGACGTGATCATCAAATACGGTAATCCACTTGTATGGGGCTGTACCAAAGTCATTTATTGGACAAAAAATCTGAATTAATTACCATTAATTCGGGGACATTTTTTCAGTCTAATAATTAAGCTGGAACCATAAATATATTATTTTAAGCCATGCAATAAAATTCAGAAATGTGAGCATGAAAAATGTGAAAAGTTTGTTGTCACGATTATAATTACTGGCACTGGAAGAGGTCACACAGTACACCCAGCAATTGTATTTCTCTCAAATGATAATATAAATGTCCCCTAACATGTACACAAACATTTTAACCAGTTTTGAGAATTTTAATATTGAAATTGGATTAACCCGATACCGAAAATGCGCCGTTTTTCAATAATTTTACTACTTTTGACTTCGCCGGAAGTATCATCCAGTACAAACTCAATTTTTGAAAATTATTCCTAATTGTAATTGTTTCGTATAAATATATGCTAGTTACGTAAACTCATGCACTTTCCGTGTTTTTTTCTGCTTTGTAGCATAAGAACGGCATATTTTAAAGTGCAACTAATTTTTTTTTATCACTTTTGCAAAGTTTTGGATGCCGAGTGAGGGAAAGTTATCCCTGGAAGTCCCCTAAAATCTTTGATTTTTGGAAATGATAACTTCATTCCTCATCAGAAAAGGATGAGGAGCATGATGAAGAAGTCAAAAATATTCTCCAAGGTGTTCTTCGGACTCAAAATTAAGGTCAATCTTCGTGCTATATAAGTGCCCATCCCTCAGTATTGGATGGAGTTACATCGGATGAGAGAAAACTTCTCGAAATTCTGGCCTTTATTGATCATACCGTCCGAGTGAAAAAAGACACGCTTAAAAGATTTTATGAACATGGATATCCCGCCGATGACAGTTTTGAAGAAATTCTATCCAGTTTTTTGAAATTTGGAATTTTGCGGATCGAAAGTAGAGCCGATGAGGGTTGGCTGTATCCTGAAAACATCTCTATTATTGCAAAATCGGTCAGAATTAAGTCGGATGGCACCATAGTTGCGAATCTTTTGAGAAATATGATTTTGCCCAAATTCAAGGAACGGAATCCTATTGTGAAAATGTTAGTGTTGTGGAACCATGCGGTCAAGTACTTATCGAGGGTAGAGCTGGATAAATTATCACCAATTTCTGAGCAAATATCCGACCATTTGATAGAACTTAGAGATTATACTTTCGATTGTTTTGTATTTTCAAGGGATAATGTGAAAACCATGGCGAGAAAGTTGGGGCTAGATCATCTCCAAGTTGCCGCTTTGGAGCATAATGTAGCCTACGTTATCCGTAACTGGGGCAAATGGGAAGAATCTGTCGATCTTTTTAGAAAAGTGTACGACAAGTTTATGACTATCGAGGGTACACCACAGGGTCCATATTGTCTCATAACAATGAGAAACTTGGTAGACTCGTGAAGCCACTTGAAGAAACATGAAGAGGCTGCAGATTGGCGGTCTCTACAAGTGGATCTAGTTGGAGAGAGTGAAGTTGCCGCGGCGAAAGGACGGCTAGCGGAGGAACTGATCCTTGCCGGGAAAGTTCAAGAGGGAAAGAAAGAGAACTAGGGGAGGAGATCATGGGAAATTGGGGGGGGGGAGAAGACAGTGGATTTCTTTCTGATCAAAATGAAAGTTGCGAGAGGTTTACGGAAAGCGGGAAAGGTGTCTTAATCAAACTTTTAATATTAAATATAAATGTTGAGAATATGTATATAACTGAATGTAATGACAGCCCACTGATGCAATTCCAATTTTGGAAGAGGGATTGAAATCCGCCTAGAACTGGGGGAAATTAGGCCCGGCCTGAGGCTGGGGAACGTCATTGACGGGATGAGAATGGAGTTGGTCTATTCAAAAGCGATGGTGAGCGGGGTTCGAGGAATGGCGGGACTGTTGAAGGCACAAGACGAAGTGTTTCTAGGGCCATTGGGGTGGAAGATGTAGTTTTTATGTGAAAATGAGATTTTTAAGCTTAAACCAGATAAACCTAAAAACATATACAACGGTGTGAAAAAGTCCAACTTCAAAGTGTGAAATTGTGCATTAGTATTTAATATTTGTATTTAAACTCGCAGGAATAAATTTGATAAAAAATAAGGGCAAACAACTCACTAAGATTCGTTAGCTAAAATATTTACATTTAAGAATTTTAGGCTTGATGCACCCAAATTTGGCACAGGTATTTTTTAATTAGTTTTATTCCTTTATGCACTAGCATGTACATATGTAATGCAATATACCAATTAAAATCTGAATAAATACTTTTCTGTGCCGAAAAATATTAAACACAACACGCAAGTTGATGCACATATGTATAAGCTTATTTACATATATGTACATTCGTATTCATATGGAACGAAGCCCAGGTTTGAAATAAGGAGATATATATTTGAGCTTTTATAATAAGGGAAACCAGTTGAAATTATTTTATTATTTGGAGGATACGTTTCTGAATGATAAAGTTAACAAATATTGGACATCTGGATTAAATGACGTGTATGTACCTATAAAACGTATTACATTAAAACAAATAAAAACCCATGCGCAATAAAGTACCTTAGTAAGTGGACAAGGACAATGTTTGGATGACGGTATTGCATCAGGTAAGAAATGGGACGGTTAGCAATTTTTAAAAACTATCACGTGAACAGTAATAAGTGGCTGCAGGATTTCTTCGCGGAAACCACCTGCTCACTTGATTAACTTTGGGAGCGGTGTAAAATTCAATTTGAACTTGCAGCTACTTATTCCATGCTGTATAATAAATACGCAGCTCTTAACTAAAATTTTAGAAATTAAAATTCCACAAATCATGCTTCCTAAAATCTGTGTCTACATTGCCGTTATCATTGTTGTTGTCGGGGTAATTATTTGATTAGTATTGGTGCAGTAATAACAATAGAAAATACAATAATGTATTTTCGATTGTTATCCGTAACATTGGTTTTGAGTATCTCATACACTCTCGAAAATAATTATACCAGAATCAATACCAAGTCGGTAGTTTGTGGTGACCATACCGCTTTAGTATTGATTTAATACAAGTGGGTATTGAAAAACTAGTACCGCGCGAGTAATATTCCACTCACTTGTAGTAATAGAATAGGAGTGCGTAGTATTGTTCATACGAAAACTCGGGTAATATTTCAGAAAGATATGGTATTGAACATGCGCGTCTACCAATACTGCACGGTATAATTATCCATACCAGATTGGTATGATTTCTTACTATCTCGTATTAATGCATGGTAATGAATGCAAAATAAATTTTACCCGTCCAGTATAGGTTTTCGTTTATTATTTATTTCAAACTTTTAATCCTGGAATGTTTATAACTAAATATGATACAAAATAAATTAATATGATACAGAGATAAATATGACCGATCTAAATTATGTGATAAATAGCACTAAATTATTAACATTATCTTACGTACTACAAAAAATGTCTAGAAATTACAAACAATCCATTTAAGTTACAATTTTGTTTAATTTCCATTGCTTCGTGCACAACAAGTTCTTGTATATTAATTGATCTATACTTATTATCAATATCTTTAACCTTATAAGCAAATACACTTCTGTCAAAAAACTCGGTTTCAAGTACTTTAAGAATAAGTAAACATGAGTTATCATCTTTCAAAATAAATTCAGAAATAGAACCAAACTTGGGAAATATATCTCCCATTTCATAACAAACTACATAATTATGTTTATAATTGTAACCGTTAAGCCATACTTGATTTGTAGTTATAATTTCAGATCGAATAGAAATATCAGAAATATACAACTTTAAAGACTCAATGACATCGAAGGAGTCATCAAACTCAGAAATGATCGCTTTAAAAATTTTGTCTGTTTTTAATCCGTAATGAAACTCGCCGTTTTTAAATATATGTGAGCTATACAGAGGTTTATTCAGAATTAGTGGCAAAGATGTTTCCTCAATTTTTAGAATGAAGGACTCGTCGATGAGTATTTTTACTATTTTTAACGTGTTCCCCATCCTTTTCTGATATAGAGCGAAGTCTCCTTTTCTAGGATTAGAAAACTTTAAGGTACATTTCCGGAGTCACTTTCTTCCACTCGTCATTCAAAACTTTACAAAACTAATAAAAAAAATTAGTGGTCATTTGTAAAGTGCTGTTCTGATGCTGCAAATCAGAAAAATAGCACGGAAAGTGCATCATTTTACATAACTAGTATTTCTTTATATGAAACAAGTACAATTCATAATAGTTTTCAAAAAATGAGTTGATACTGGGCAATGATGTTGGCGAAGTCAAATGTACTAAAATTATCAAAAAATGACTCATTTTAGGTATCGTGTCAATTCAATGTCAATAATAAAATTCCAAAAACTAATTAAAATCTTTCTGGACATGTTAGGGAACATTTATATTATCATTTGAGTAAAATGCAATTGCTCGGTGTACCGTGTGACTAATGAAATCGTCAGCTATTAAAATCGTGACGACAAACTTTTAAGTTTTTTTGATGCTCACAATACTTTATTTTATTTTAAGGCGTAAAATATGATATTCATAATTGCAGATGATTTATTAGCATGAAAAGTTGTCCCTGATTTAATGGTAATTAAATCAGATTTCTTTTCCCATACATGACTTTGGTACAAGCCAAGTGGATTACCGTAGTTGATGATGACACTTCATTTTAGTATAGTCTGGTATAATTTCTTTTGCCTTATCACCTAATATTTTAAGATTGATTGATTTTATTATAAAGTAGGGGACCCCTGCTTTCAGATACAACTTATTTTGTGCCGAAAAAGATTATATTTCAGCGTCACGACATATTTATGTGGTGAGCGTCGGTTTTCGCATTTTCTGGGGGTAGTGGTTCGGAGGTTGTGGAAGCCTCAGATTTATCGAAATATTTATTTTTCCTTTTCTATTCTTTAGTCTGTACACTTACCTAAGCAAAACGGTAATTTTTTGATTTTTAAGCTCTTCTACAATTTTTTTAGGAATCATTCCAGCTTTGCAAACGGCTTTCACGGCATGGACCACTTTGGTGTCATTTTGTGAATCCACAATTAGACTTAGAAATTTGAAAAAAATGTGAAAACACTATCATGAACCACTCTCCACAAAACACTTTGAATTTCCCAATTTGGCCTAGGGGATACAGAGCTATGATAAACTTTAACTTTGCCACTAATTCTGAATAAACCTGTATTGCTGGTGTCTTCTTGCTAGGGAAAAACAAATATTTGTAAAATTTCTATTATTGTGCGCTAATTGTGCAAAATAATTATGCTTCCCTTCGAATCTCATTGTCCAAAGAGAAATTAGGGGACCTGATTTTTCAATAATATAAGGATAATGAGTCATAAAATGCTGTTTTGGGATTAAATTTTGTTCTGGAAATAAAGTTTTAAAAAGTTTGTGGTGTTTAATAATTAAGATTTTTAACGATAAAATTGATGATTTACTAAATTCGCGAGAAAATATATAGCTCATACATTCTAATAGTTGCAGCAATAGTTCCCAAAATTCTAAATGTTCAGCCTCCGTAAGTAGGTCACCCAATATAACTGGCAAAAATCTAATTAGGCACCACGCTTGGGCTGCTTTTTGGCCTATCCTATTTCCTGTCCCATCTAATTTAATCTGTGTTGGTCTATTTTTTGACTCAAGATATCCAAAATCAAACGCCGCTATCCGGTGGTTAATTGTTTCGAGGCTGAAACACCCTAAACTAATTAATTTCTTTAAAACTAATTTAATCTCATATGGGACAACCCCCTCTAAAAGATCGTGCATTATGTCAGCTGTGGGTGAGTCTAAAAAATTGTAATATTTAAGGTTATTAAACTCACATAGACTTTGAACACCGAAAGAATTTGAAGCTAAATGCACATCGTAATTATTAACGTTACGCAATGGCATTTTATCATGGTCAAATTCAAGCTGGGTTTCAGACTTAGAAATAAAACAAATTCTACAAAAATAATTAGAATTAAAAGATTCTGTAAAGCCTAATAATGAATTTCCTCCCAAATTGTCATGAACAATTGAACAGAGCGTGCCTCGAAATCTTGTTTCACCAATTGCAATTCCAGCGGACTCTAAAATTTTAAAATCAGGTAAAATATGTTTTACAATTGAGTGGTAACCATATTTTTTGGCGTCCTCACTATAAAATAGAGCAAGTAAATGAATTTGAGATAGCTGTGAATTTAAAAAGTCTGGCAAATTGCGTAAGGTAAAATATAATGCTCCAAGTTTGTGAACGCCTTTTTTTGACCCCAATGGGTTAACGGTTTCAAAATCGTCGTAAAACAATTGAACCTGAATTGACTTAGGGTAACTTGAGAAAAGTGGATTTGTCTTATAAGATATTGAGTCAGAGAAAGTTTTAATTGTGTTACTGTTATTAAATTTGGAATTAAAATAATAAGAGTATTGTGGAATCTGAAGAATCTTTTCAATTGTTTTTAACAGAGGTACGTACATAAACGTATCTTCTACAAATACCTGCTGCCTTTTAGTATCTTTAACTTTAACTTCGAATCTTTTTCCTAAACATATTTCTACAGGTAAAATTAGATCATTGCTATTTTCATATATTTTTTGCCGCAAGTAGGCTGATTTTACTTTATCAAATCCAGAAATTAAGGAATGTATTTGTGCTGAAAATATCTCTATAACTGTTCACCAAATTGTTGAACTCCTATTTTCGAAATTAAATCAATTATTTGTGTAAATAAATATTTCATCTCATTAATAATAAAATCTACCTTTGTATTATTAACACCGTTTGCTAATATAGACGAACAAAAATTACCTAAAATCTCGGAAACTATTTTAATACCGGTGTCGACGGTAATATTTTCAAACGTTTCTGAATTATGCAGTGAATTACTTTCATTTGAATATGAGTTAAAGCTACTGAAATCTAAGTTATTGCTTAAATTGGACTCTAAATATGTATTTAACATAGGGGAACCTGGAGAACTTTCGTGGGCTTTAATGTGGCGTAAAAACCAACTCCATGTATTTAAAAGTTCACTACAACCAGAAAAGGGACAGATTATTTGACTAAATTTGCTATGTCCATAATTATGTATGTATATCAAGTGGTGCTTAAATTCATTTACTCCTAAAAATAGTTGTTGGCAATTGGGACAAGAAAACATTATTTTAGTTCGGCAAAAATACTACTCAACTGAACAAAAATACTACTCAACTGAACAAAAATACTTTTCACTTTCCTAGAGAGATCTGTGTTGTCGACGTCAATTTTGTAAACATAAACCTGCAGAAATTTCCAAAGACCTTGCAGATTTTTGTCGTATTCGGCGGCAAAAACGTAGTGTGCCTTGAAGAGAAGGTCAATTGCCTCAGTAGAACTTTTAGCATCGATGGGGAGGAGAACTCTGTCCACAACGATAAAAAAAGATGCCAGTTGATTTTTGTTGTCCCCTAAGCACAACAGATTTGGCTGCTTCTTGTCGTCACTCCAAGTGTCCACAATGGATTGAAGTGGCGTTCCAGTCTTTGTTGAAAATTTCAAAAATTAGTTTTTGTAAATTTTTAGCTAATTCTAATTGCATACAAAATAAATTAGCTACTTTATAATAAGAAACCATTAAATTCCTTGCGTCTGAAATTGAGCTGCGGCTTCCCTTTCCTTTTCCCTGGGCTGCTGGAGGTATTAAATAAAGTAGAGCAAGAAACGCAGCCAATTCAGTATCCCAATTACCTTTATGTACAAAATTCAAGAAATTTAAAAGGACAGAAATGTGGCTAAATTATAATATCGCTTAATTCTAAACATTTTACGTACCAGCCTCCTCGGAAATAAACTTGGAAAGTGAGGGGGTCTGACTTATCTGTCCAATTTTGTCTAGTAGATTTTTTGCAAAATGTGGCCAAATCGTAGTAAAATTAAATTGGGATTCCTCGTGCAAAAGTGAAAACTCAAACGAAATCTATAGTAACTCACAATGTCAAATTATTACATTTATATAATTATTTAAAAAGATAAATAAGTAAATACAAATTACCAAAAAATTACACTCTTCAAATTTTTTGTAAACTAACAGGATTGACTGTGGGTTTTCATTTCGCAGCTGATTTCTGTGTTGAAATGTCTCCTCCATTAATTTACGTACTTCTGTAGCTCCAGACTTAACACAGATGGCGTTTAGACTCAGAATTAATTCGTCGCAGTGGGCCACGTCTTGAATTATCTTTTTACTTCTTGGCCCTCCTTTCGAAACACTTTTAGTTTTTTTTCCCCTAGGAGCAGATTTCGTGGTCTTAAGATTTAAGTGAATATTCCTTAGCCTGGTTTGAATTAATCCAGAACGACCAACATCGTCATATAATATGTCCTAGATTTTGTAGAAATAAATCACGTAGTCTAACAATTAGTAATAAAAAAAATAGTTTTAAAAACCTACCAGTCCTTCTTTTGACTCTGGGTACCGCCAACAAGGAAGAATGTCGATTAGAGCTACGGCTAATTGTTTTTGATCGCTTGGACTTGGAGATTCGCTTTTTAAATTAAATTTTAAATTTTGTTAACATTAATTTATGTAATTTTTTAATGCTGAATGAACATTTGTTTAAACTTCATAAATTCTTACCCTTTTAACTCAACAAGCTTGAAAACAAATTCTTTTATCAGAAACGTTGCTGCCTTGTCATCTACCAACCCTTTATAATTGCAAGCTGCAACAATTGCGGAAATTTGCTTATTCTGATGAATCACACAATCTAGAACCTGGAAAAACAAATTAAACATGAACTTAAGCAACAAAATATGTTTATAAAAATGCAAAGTTACAAAATTAATATAAAATTCAATTGAATTAAAAATTAATAAACTCAACCTGTTTGAAACTATTATCAACGCTGAATGATGGGATTGAAAAGTCGGCTAGGAAAATTAATCACGACAATATTATCATAAAAGAAATGATATAAATAGAGCTAGTATCACAGGTATTAAAAAAATACCAATAAGTTGCTGGCTGGATAAATCAATAGCTATTTCTGCTGTTTCTTCGCCGACTAATTTAAATCCAATATCGGCAATGGGAAAAATCGACAGCAAGATTGGAAACGTCTCAGCATTTATAGCTGCCCCATGGTCGTCTTCAAACTGGATGACTGAATCGTTATCTAACTCGTAGTTCCGTCGAACTGAAAATTATATTTTGTTTTACCTTTTATTTATTTATCTTAAAAATATAATAATAATACACAAAAAACGATACTTAACAAAATAGCTTTCTTACCAGATAATTCAAATTCTTCCAAACTTCCATTAGATGAAATTAATTTTAATGGTCGACGAGAATTTGACACACGAACTAATTTGGACGAATTCATTTTTGCAACTTCTTTATTCGTGCTCGTTCGGTGAGTTAATGCCGGGCACGCTTATTTTCAACGGACAAACTCGAGACATTTCCGCTACAGTATTATTACAATACCCCAATCGTGCAAATCATTACTCGAGCAGTATTGATTTCATTAATACTACTGCCGGTACTATTTACTACATAGTGCAGTAATAATACAATACCGTGCATCATTACCACATAATGAAAGATTGATATTACTGCCTTTTTGGTATTGAAATCTTTTAAAAATCAATACCTAACTTCCGAGAGTATACTTATAACATACAGGTAGTTACTTAATTATGTAGGGATTTTCATAATTATTTTAATTGCGTATTGTATAAATGAGCATAATTCGTGGTTTAACAGGAGTGACATACACAGTATGTACTTTGTCTGGTAATACTTCGACTAAAAATATTCCTGTAGTAAATGATATTAACTACGGTGATTATATATACACACGCTACCGCAGTGGTAGTAAATTTCATACCGTTGGTAGCAAATTTTTTACCAGGATAGTAATGTCTGTTACTCCTCGGTAGCAGGTATATATTACCAGCGCGGTAATAGCTTTGCTCCTGCTCGGTAACAAATTTATCATTAAGGCCGTGGAGTCACACATGTACGTATATTTTGTCACCGCGAGATAGCAATGTTGGTGAATGTAATCATTGACCAGTCACATTCATGAACTTGTGATTCATGAACTAAAAAATTCTTGGGAGTTATTACTTCTGCCCTTTTGAAGAATCGTTGTGGTTTCACGTTCAAAAGTATATGGAATATTCTTAAACGAACCTTTTTTGGGATGCAATGGTTCGTTTAGAGTGCATGGAAGGGATCCAGCCCAGAAATTGAGGATACTTAGGTTTTCAATCGTTTTAGGCAAGGTTGAAAATTCCAGTGGTCAAAAGATATTTAGGAAAGCATTCAGGTAAAATTGTTATGTTCTGTATAAATTTTATTGACAATCTTTATAAATAAGAATTTTGTTTCAATTAGTTCAGAGATGGACGCCGACCATATGATCGGCGGCGGCGTCCCTATTCCGATGATAAGCGGCGGCGGCGGCGACGCGCCGCGGCGTGTAGCCAAAAATATGATCGGCGGCGTAACTGCATAAGCACAGCTATTTTTTTTAAATAAAATTCAAGAAAAGGCTAAGAAAACAATATTTTTTCGACTAAATAGCACAAATTCTCAAAAAAGCATGTATTATTTAGTGGGAAATGGTTATTTTTGATTTGCAGGTTAGTAAATTTTGGAAAAAAATTAGTTTTCTTATTACCAAATTTCATTTTTTCCCTATATATAAGTCAAGAAAAAAATATATCGGGATCATAATGCAATCGGCGTCCAAAAATTTGGCTTTGCGGCGCGCCGAAGATTTTCTTCGGCGGCAGCGCCGATTTTTCCCTCGGCTTTGAGGCCGGTGGCGGCGTCGGCGCGGCGTCGTCTCCCTCTGAATTAGTTAAGCTTTGTGAATATAAAGTATTGTCAAGTAGAAAATAACAATACGTAAAAATAGTTTTGTATGTGCCTAACATATAGTGTGCAGTGTGTATTAAGTTTTGAGCGTATTAATGTAAATCAACTTTTTGGTCTTAGCATTTTTTTCACAGCATACATAATTGAATTTTGGTCAGAACCTTGAACCTTTTCAAGGGTGTTTGGGTCAAAGAAAGGTTGAATTGGACTACATGCATTGTACGAATGTAATCTTGTACACATATAACTTAAACTTGAGTAAAATAAGGAAGGGATAAGGGTGGAATTTTCCACCCTTTTTCAGAAGGAGTGTAGAATCCTCCCCTTGTCACTAGGGGAACCCTTGCACATACAGTTGTGTAAAATCCCTTTCGGGTTACTAACGAAGTTTTGTAGGCAAGGAGCTTGGTTCGATCAAAACTGAAGTGCGGATGCAGTTTAAACACGGGATAGTATTATTTTTTTTTAAATCTATCAATAATTCCGTAAGATTATAATTTACCGTGTGTCAGTCCGAATATTGGTGAGTGATGTATACATATATATTTTTACATACATACTACAGCTTGTGCTAACTATCTATAAAGAGCTAGATAACTTTAATTTTGTCTTTAGAGCCAATTATTTAACAACCAAATGGATTCGATCCATCAGCCCTTGATCACTTCAGTTCCTGAGGTTTGCCAACCAGATTATTTATTAGGAAAGCCTAGGAAAACCTGCAACTTTGAGACAAAAATATACATTTGCAGATTGTCCACAAATTCATGTCCTTCTTGCCAACGGACGACTTGCTGACCTGCACATCCATAAATTTCGCGTGGGAAGGCGAAGCACGAAAACATATCCGCGCCAGGGGAGAAGTGGAACTAAGTAATGCCAGTTTTCCAAACTACGTCGAGATAATGCAAGTCCGCTCCAATTATTTTGAACGTTTAAAATTCGGCTGGAAACATGAAATCCAATTCTCCGAGTTACTCTCCCATTTAGAAAGATTAGCTGTAAATTATACCGGCAAATTGAAGCAGCTAGACGTCGCCATCCCCTTTAATGAAATTACTGATCTACACCGCTTATTCCCAGTTTTGCATCTTCTCGGAAAAAATTTAAAATCTCTTGGGCTGTGTTTATTTGATACGTACGGTCAATTTGCACATGATGAGAAAATGTCAGCGTTCTTTACAAACTTTGATTTAAGTAACATTTTACTTCCAACCATTACGAAACTCACGATACATCCTTTCCATTCGTACAAAATAGACCGTAAACTTTACGCCCCGTTCTTGACCAAGCTTGCTCCAATGTTTCCAAACGTGTCCGCGCTCTCGTATTCAAATCCGGATGTCAGCGAGTTAGAATCATTTTTAAATTCGAGCCCACCCCCATTCCCGAAATTGGTATCGCTCGCGACAAATTGTGACTTTTACGTTGGTGAGGTTTCCGTTGGTTTAAACCTGGGATGGGAATTCATCAAGAAATTTGAATTTGACGCGTACTCAGATGGCGTTACCTTTGAGAAAAGGTTTCTCCCAAAGCTTGCCCCCACATTGGAATTTCTCCACATTAATAATCTTGACCGCGAGCCAAATTCTTTGTTAATTCCGATAATGCCAAGATTGCGGGTTTTTGCTGTAACGTTTCGAGAGTGGAGGGGGTGCTATTTTCGTTCACGGCTAAAATTTGAAACCGCCGATGTCGCCAAAGAAGTGAAGATTGAGTACGATAAGCAATTTCCATCCTTGGAAAAAATTAGTGTGCGATTTCAACAAAAGGTAAAAACATTAGAAGGAAGAAAAAGTGGGTTTGAGGCTTCGGCAAGATTTTTATATTGGTCTTTCCTCCCGAAGAAGGCCGCTGTGTGCGAAACCGTGCATGAACTTGATATTCAATTCCCGCCAAAGAGGAAATTTAAATTGGTTAAGCTTGACCTTGGTACGAGAGCGGGTTGCCCATACGGCAAATGTAATCGGTTTGATTGGGAGGACTCGAAAACATTTTTGGACCGAGTGGCCGCAACTTTTCCAAATGTGAAGTACCATATTTTGGAAGAGAGAAGGGGGAAATTGCGACAGACCTTGATGCAAAAGTGGATACAAGAGGGAGTAAATTTGGGATTTTTGAAGACAAAAGAAGGGGATGCTGGCTGGTGGAAAATGAGTAATGTTTTGCTTAATGTTGAGGATAAGGGAAATGATGGACCGTCCGAAACGAATTAAAGACAGTGAGATAATTTACTACAGTTTGCAGAACATTAATTTAAATAAGTAACTCATACTTATCTTCGTAAAACTCAAATTTTCCTTAATTTTGTTATTTTACAAAGTTAGTAATTGCGAATAATTATAAATGGTAGTTTAGGGAAGCTAATAGATTAGATTTAATTTTCATAGTAGGTTATTGGAGTTATAACATTTTGAAAAATACACGAAAATTACACATAATATTAATGACGTTGTAATCATTACAATGAGTCTATTCTAACAATGTAAAGAGAAATAGTAAAATTCAGCGTATGCCTATTTTCGAAAACTTGAGAGTTGTTTCTCATTGTTAACTTTCGCCATGTGTAACTAAAAAATTGCACTACTGGGCTCAAACTAAGTAAATTTCAGCGAGTAATTGGTCAGAGGATTTGATAATTTTATATTATGTCGGAATGGATGGATTTAGCGGATATTATACTTATTGTAAAAAAATCATATTCCGAATATGAAAATTTTTTATAACAAAATGTAACTTTCGTGTGAATTCAAGTATGCAGTAATAAAAAATTGTTGACTAAAAAATTTTGTTGTATATTTTTTGTTTAATTTATGATTTTCAGATGTGCCTTGTCAAAGCCTATTTTGTGTCACGAGTTGTGTGAAAGATGGAAGAAGACGTTTTTTTGTACTTCATATTGGAGATAATATGAATGCAGAAAAACTTGATACATACAATTTTTGATTTGTAATGATGTCCACTTTTGTATAAGAAAGATTCGATAAGGTGCCACACAGGTAGGGTTTCGCTCTAGTTTTAACCACTGTCATAATGGCCGTCCAAAAGTGGTTTTAATCACTCTTGAAGATGCAGTTTTTTGCATTGAGAATTTGCAAAATGGTTAAAATTCCATATATCGTGGTGGAACATATTAAATTTCTCGAGATGTGCGTGGAATTTATATACACAGTGTATAGATTTGCACAAACAATGTTAATGAGAAAGTTATACCCGGTTACCCCGGGTTTTTGTGGGTTGGGTTTTTTTGGGATTTAACAGTAATCTTGGTGTGAATTTTTATAAACGTTTAATAAAGTTTGCAAGTTTTATTTACAAATTACATATGCATATTTTTAGCTAGAGTGGGTGTGTCAAATTGATAAAATATGTATGTAGGTATGTGCATATGCTTATATATGTGCATGAGGTCCTAAGGCTACATATGCCAGATTATGTTTATTTTTTCTGTATTAAACATTAACAAATATAACTACAACACAATACTCAAATATGAATTTTTCCATTACATTCACCGGGCACTAACCTTTATAGTCAAAGGAGAATAACTCACAAATCCGGATTCCGGTCAAAGAACACGTCGCATCACTTTAAACAGAAAAGGAAGTCCAAAACGACAATCCACGGATATATGTATTTCAAAGTATAAGGTTTCCGAAAAAGTAGATTTCAAAAAGAATTCAGGACGACTTGGTACCGTAGGCACACTTTGAATATTGAAATCCATGAACAAATTTGCTAATTCCAACTGCTCCGCTCCCATGCGTGCTGCTGCTTGGAAGTTGAAAAATTCAAAAACTGCACTGAGAGCAAAATTTTAGCAAGTTCCCACAAAGCGCTGTCTATATACGTATGACCTCAACGGTTTGGTAGCGATGTGATACACAACTGTAGTAATTTCCTTGCCACGCGGTAACGATAGTTAGAATGTGGTAGAAAATTTGCTACCATTCTGTATCAAGTCGCTGCCAAACCGTTTAGGTTATCTATAGACACCGCATGGTAGCAATTTGCTAAAATTTTGCTCTCAGTGTGTTTGAAAAAAGTTGTCTATTGAGATGTGGATTAATGCCAAGCTGAAACTAGCTGCCTCAAAAAATTTAAAATACCAAAAAAGTAGAGTCAAGCAAAAACAAAAAACGCAAAAAAAATTCACAACGAACTTTCATCCAAAATTTATGACGAAAGATACGTCCACCTAGAACTAGAAGTTTGCATAGACTCCTGGAAACAAATTTTGTTGTTCTTTTTACGTTAAAGATGTTGTTTATAATAAGAAAGAAAATAACCCATGTTACCATATATGGCGTGACCTACCGCCCCTGCGACATGGGCGCCTAAAGAGCAGTGTACTCGCAAGCAAAAAAGCGCAGCATCTTGGTTTTTGCTGTCTTGCAGGAAAAAGCAGCTTTTTTGCTGCATCGATTTTCCATGATTTTTGCTATTTTGCTGCTGTGCAATAAGTAGGGTAATGTGAGACTATTTAATTAACATTGACTTCAATGCAGCAAAAAAGCAAGCAAAACAGCAAGCAGCACAGCAAAAAGCAGAATTTTTTCGATGCTTTTTTGCTTTTTGGAGTACACTGCTAAAGAGTCACCCACTAAATGGACGAGAAAAAGATCATTGTCAATGGTCAACATAATGGGACAGTTACGGAGTCCGTTTCGTTTGGATAATTCATATTTACCATTCATTATCTCTTTATACGCACATTTCAATAAAACGTAATATCTTCTTTGCGTAATAGTCAGAAAACTACATTTCTTTCTTAACAACTCGACCTGTGATACATCTATTAGCTGAATATAATTTGTGTATTTTTTTCTTTTCGCCGATTTATTGTAGAAATATTCGCAAATAAATCTGTCAATGCGATTCTGCATGTCGATTAACATATTATCGGTTTGTACTGCCAATATTTCAAGACCATAATCGATTACAGAGTGTACATATGCATTCATCATTTTAAACGTGTCAATACTTAAATACCTTTTAATTCCTCTTAAATATTTCAGCTTTGCAACTACTTTTGTACAGACGATATCATAATGTTTTTTAAAATTATCTAAGGTGGGGATCAATCCAAATTCCTAGATATTTAAATTCAAAAACACTTTCTACTTTTTCGCCATTAGTTTCGAAAAACATTGTTGTCGATTTTTCGGACATATCGTGCTCTTTATGAAAAATTATATATTTGGTCTTAGTAAAATTAATTTTGATTCCATTAGTACGTTGCTAAAGAAAATCTTACACCAGGTGCGTAATAAATTTATTGAAAAATTAGTGTTTTAAAACTCGGCCGAAGTAAAATTGATGAGATTCTTTAATTAACAGAATTATTTAAGAGGTTGCAACAAATAAGTCGATACGAGGCGGCACGAATTCAATTAACCTTTCTAGTACGATATCCATGTCACCTGTTAGGTATAGGAAGAGAATTGGGGAAACTTCGTAAGATAATTTCTATACCTATCTGGATTTCTCCAAGTAATAAATAAACATGCATTAATTATTTCCTGTTGCAATTATGAATGCGGGCATAAGTTTATTATCACATTTGCGTCAAGTTTTATGGACCATTTGGAAATTTTTGTCAGGATGTAAATCTCGTAAAATTTATTCTGCCAAAAAATCACAAGTGTCGTTACATATGTACTGGCTGAGAATCGAAGTGCGGTACGTTACCACGGAGCTACATCCATGTATGTATGTACATACCCCATTATGGGAACAATTTTGTAAATTATTAAACTGATATTCAATCTGCGAAGTGACGTTCAAGAAAAGGAACCAGGAAAATTTGGTAAGTGAGGATAATCTAATAAAGAATTTACAGTTTCAAGTTGGCCCTCTGTAATGAGATAATCAACATGATACATGTTTTTACTCGGAAACTTATCATTCCTATAGTCGTTGTCTGCTTAAAACTACTCCCACTACAGTCAGGGAGTTTTGTTTTGCCTTGTTTGTATCTATACGTGGGAAGATTTTTGTTTTCCTCCGTATAAAGAGGAAGTTCCAATGTTATCTTCCTCCCTATAGAGAGGAAGATATTATTTTTTGATCTAGCATGAAAATAAGTAGGTTTGGGCAACTTAATTACTTTTAATTAATTCAGTGTTAAATTTTGCATAAAAGTGTGGCGTCCTATGAAGTTCGGATAAGGGGGTGAAAATTGTGTTTTAAAAAATCACAGGCACTTCATCAATTTTACATAAATACATCAGTAATCCACACAATAAATAGATATGCACATATACGTAAGTATGAACATCCTTGGTAAATTTTATTTCCTCCCTATAGAGAGAAACTTTTCTTCCTCCGTGTGGTTAGAAACAAGGCAAACTCCCTGACTGCATTGATGGTACGTACAATCCTGTATTTCCGGAAGTATTCAAGTGAACAATAATATCTTATGGTGCTCGAGATGCAAAATATTGTAGCATGCAGCCTGAGTATGCAAAGGAACCGGGTGTTCCTAACTTAGCAAGTTAGGAATATATTGTATCCATTTGCACGCAATAATAATTGATGATTTGAATTAAACAATTTCGGCACTTTTAATTCAGTAATGGTCGCATTCGGTTAAAAGAATACTACTATCCACCACCAGCACAATTCGTCTTAAGCTGTTATTAAATATTTTTTCGTTCATAAACTATTGCAAAATATAATTAGCATAATCAATTTTTTCACTTTATAGGAATCTATACGATCTCGTTAAGGGTATGTTGTACATCTTAATAAGATGCTCTTATTAGCCCGACTCAGGGCTTATGGAACCGTCATGTCTATCTATCAGTCTGTCTGTCCGTCTGCCTGTCACCACGATAACTCTCTTTAAACTTACCCGATCGATTTGAAATTTTCACCATATGCATATTGGACAAAGCTGGGAATCAAGTTCAAAGATGAGCCAAATCGGTCTACTGTTTGGCCGGTGAGGGCCATATGGGTGGTGGGGGTCTTGTACACAGAAATTTCAAAATAGTCGTAGAAAGCTGAAACTTGGTACATAGGTAACTAATGGCCTCTAATGAAAAAAATATGAAGTAAAATTAAAAAGCATTAAAAAATTGCAAAAAAATTTGGCAAGTCGATTTTAATTCTTTCCAAAGGATGACTACGTTTTGCTAACCAGCAGGGTTACTTTTATTGCTGAGGCAACATGACATTAAATTTTGCACGTATGGGCACAGTTGAAAGCACTCTTTCCAAAATTGGTTATTCATATAGCAGAATCATTAATGAGTTCAGAGGTCAGGCCCCTTCAGTTATCCATTGCTTGAAAAGTAAGCTATTTAATACGAAAGGAAAGAAACGTCAATCTGTTGCAGCTGGCCTTCCACCCCAACCACTAGACAACCTCTACGAGTGCTGACTTCGAGTGTCCTCAAAAAAATCAACCTCTTGACCGCAAAAAAGAATCCACCCACCCAAAAACAAATTTGTGGTAAAGTTAAAGTGTCTATGTCGTCCGTAAATAGAACAATCAAGATTTTGATAAAGACAGTCTGACGTAAAACAAGAGTGCATCAGCAGACAGTAAAACAAGAAAAATCGAAGACGAACCCGCAATAGCTTTTATGTAAATTATTTGTCAAAAAATTGGAAGGAATTTGTGGGGTCAATAGATGGAGAAATAATTTGTCTACAAGATACAAACAGCCAGAGATGAATTTATTACGATTTAGTAAACCAAAAAATCCATCAAACTGGACGTGCTAGTGCTAGGAAAACT